CTGCCTCATTAGAAAATCTATCATACTAACTCTGTTCTTACTTCCAATCGAGTTTGTAATTGTTATATCATCTCCGCTCTTACTTCGATAGACAAAGTACCAATTTCACCCCATGTACTCCGTTTAATTGCGTGGCGCAGTGGGAGCAAATCGGGTTATGCCACTTTTATTATGTAATAAAAAAAACTAATCCAATATGTTCAAATTGGGTTAATAAATAAGTTGACCAAAATTTTAAATTATTAAATAATAAATATTAATATATTAACGGACAATTCTAACAAAGTAACAAGAATCTTAAAAATATTAAATATTATATATAAAAATTAAAAGATATATATATAATTGGGGAGAAGTCGGGGGTTCATCATAAAATCCACTCCCACCGTAAACCCAATTCAATTTTTAATTATTTTACCATATTCGTCCCAAACTTATTTAAGGGAACATCAAATCTACCCGTTAGGAGTGGGGCAAAAACCTGTGGATCGGAGGAAATTGCCATCCCTACGTAAGGCCTCCATTAAGTCTCAACATACTGCAATTGAATTGGAAAAATTAAGAGAGTTTATCTTGTAATTGTTTCAAAAAATGGGATGAAAAGTATTGGATGAGGTGGAAGGAAAGACAGCCCAAAAACCCTTTTTGACTATCCACCTAAAAGTGCAAGGTTCCCTAAGGAAAGGAATAGGAGATTGGGATGATTGTTTTTTTTTTTATCCTTAGTTTTTATAATAATTACTATAATCTTACTTTATCCTTACCACATACATATATATTTAAAAAATTCATCAATTTCATTCCTCCACTGTATTTTTAAAAATGCAATTGAAGTTGTTCTTCTTCTTTTGCTATCCAATACAAAAATAAGTTAAAATTCTCCTCTCATTTTCTTCTTAATTTTTTTTTGTCTCAGACATTATTGATTGACCTAAATAACAGAGTACTCAACTTTCTAAATAGGTATATCTGTGTTCGAATTCTTCCTTTCTTAATTTGCCAGGATAAAAAATAAAAAATAAAAAATAAAAATCATTTGCCACCTACTCAACTCTAACTACACTGCAAAAGACTAATAGGACATCACCATGATTAATGTACTAGACTAGTAGTTCATCAACTCACGCTAACCACTTTGGACTTTCATCGGATTTGCAAATTTTGAATATATATGTGCAATAACTCACAAATTAAATGTATCATTTAACTTTGATTGTTTTTGTGCCCTGTGATAATCGAACTTGGGACTATTTTTGTGTCTTGTGATAATCGACTATGGGTGGCAAATCACAACACGACTCGCAAACACGATACGAGATAAGTGGGTCTAAGTTAATCTTAAACAGGTTCGGGTCATAAACAGATTAATACGATTAATCCTTTTACTTAATCATGTCGAGTTATGGTTGAGGGGTTCAACCCGTTTATATCCGCTTAATTCAACATGTCATAATCGTGAATATGACCTATGTAATATATATTATCTATTTAAATCTAATTATTATGGACAGTTAAGTCATTTCAACATAAACCTTGATTACGCCTTATGATTTTTCTTTTTATTTTGAATATTTAGGTTAATTGTGACAATTTTCTTCTAGTATTTATTATTTGATTAAATATTAAATGTCTCATTTTGATAAACAGGTCACTAAACGGATTAACACGTTAACATATTTAATAAATAGGTCGGATTTGTTTTGAGAGTTGTTGATGCAATTATTAAATTTACCTGTTTAGTAAAATACTCTTATATCAACATGACACAATTATGATTCACGAACACAAATTGTCACCCAATTCAGGACGTCCAAATTGACTCTGTTGTTATAATCCTATCATAATATTATTTCCTTTTTTAAGAAAGGAAATGTTTTTTTTTAAAAAATAATAAATAAAAATTTTGCTCACCAAACAAAATATTAATTGTTTATGATATAGGTAGTGTGTAGTAATTTTTAATCACCTTTCCATCCATCATGGGTAATAACTGTTTTTAACTTTAACTTACCAACTGACTAATGAGATAAAGAACATACTGTCATTTTAATATCTATATATGATGAGCCCACAATTAACTTCACACTCATAATATGTGTCCCAACTTAAGATGGGTTATGGTCCTATGGAATCATAGATTAATATATTTTGTTTTAATAAATAAAAAAATTCCCCCTCAAAAGAGTGGGTCTAGAATTAGTCAAAGAGAAGCCATATTCTTTCCTTGAAGGAGGACTTTGTTGTTCAAAGGGGTCCTATCATCATCTTTCTTTTGCCGAGTATTTTGGTGGGAAAGTTTGGTTCACCACCACCCCCCTTTTCTGACTATTTTTACTTACAATACCATTGGATATTATCGTATATATTCATGTATACATTAGATATTATTATTTATTATTATTTTTTGTCCATATACATGAACATATTACATACATATTATGTATATATATATATATATTAGAGAGAGAGAGAGAGAGAGAGAGAGGTGGCCATGTTCAAAATTTGAAAAGTATATCGTGTAGCACGAGCAAGAAGCATGTAGTGCACATGCAGACAATTTGTTGAGTCAAAAAATGGTGGCATGAGATAATGCATGGGTGGTGGCTGCCTATCACATTCTACTACTTTACAAGGAATGGAGTGAGTCAATATAATCCATCGATTATATCTAACGTTTCTAGACTCCTCCTCCATATTTAATTACCAATACTGTTATAACTTTATTAAAAAAAATTAAAAAAATAAATCTACATATAACTTGGAGTATGATGATTTGAGAATTACTCACTGCTGGTCTCCCTCACTATGACAGGACTCGAGAGAGTGTATTTTATAGTCTCACTAATGCAACTACAATAATGAGTGGGAAATTTTAGGTCTCAACTCGATTTAATTTGAGGTCAAATGTTTTTCTTAAAATATTTTAAAAGATTTTTTGGCTTTGATGATTATTTACAATTTTTTTTTTCCTTATGGAGAAAACTGTACATTATAAAGTTCAAAATGACTTTATATATATATATATATATATATATGTGTGTGTGTGTGTGTGTGTGTGTCTGTATGATAATTTCACGATGTAACGGCATGAAACTCGGGGCATGGATGTACGGGCATGGATGTACTGTGGGCTCAGGCACATGCCCCCTATTAAAAAAATTTATTATTATATTTTACATTCCTAAATTTATATTTTTTTTACATTTATACCCATAAAATTTTAAAATTGCCCCTACTGAAATTATAAAAAATTCCTCTATATAAATTTGTCCCTTCATGTGAATTTCTAAATCCGTCCCTAATGACACTTAAAAGCTTTAGTTACAGGTGGGCACTTGGCCTGAGTCATCAAAGTAAGGACTGAGCCTGCTCTGATACCTGTAATTATAAAATACCAAAAGAGATAGAAAAAATTTGTGTCCATGTTTGAGACTTCCCAACTCTTCTTTTACCGAGCATATATATGATTATTGTGACCAACTTTTTACTACAAAGAACAAGGAATTTTACAAACTATAAACTCTAAACACAACCTGACCCAGAAAGCATAATCACATAAATGTTCATCGAGAAGCAAAATTTTAAGTAGAGAGAACAAAAATTCTCTCGCATTTCTAAGCAAAAAGCAAAAGAATCTTACCTAATTTTTTTTTTAACACATATTTAATACTTCTTCAATTCTGTAACATAAACTATTCATATAATAAGTCAATGTACCCATTGAAATATGTCAATGCCTTAAAAAGAGTGGTTCACACATATCCCCTAATCAATGTCCATTTCAGCGGGAAAGACTTGTTATAATGGCAAATGAAAGTTTCTTAGTTTTTTTTAATCAATTGGTTATACTCCTTTTTCCTTGAAGATGTGATAACTAATTGAAAGAAAAATCAAATCAAATACTATTCAATTGAAGAAATTTAACAAAAGAAAAAAAAAAAAAAAGTGTCGTCTTTAATTTTTACCAGCTGAGCTTACCAGCAAGTGACAATCCATGTAGGATAAGCCTCTGTTAATGAAACAACAAAAATGGTTGTCATTGACAAAATTGTACCTCAATTTCATATGTTTTTCAAATTGTAGGTGGAATATATGGACTTGTACCATTCTCATTTTTGTTTGAACTTTAGGGGGCGATCAAATCGGATTATATTTTGGAGCAAAGAAAATTTAGTACGATTTTTAAATTAATTTTTTTTTCAATTCTAATTTTAAAGTGCTTACTCGATATTTCAAAACATTATGTAATAAATGATACTTATTTTGCAACACGAGACTAGAGGCTCTCAAAATGTAAAAGTAATTTTATATGGTATGGGTTTTTTAATATAGAATATTGTGATATATTTAGACCACCTATTAGGCTATTATATAAAAAGACACTTAGAGCATCTCCAACAGTCTGTTAAAATATTTACGTATGATGTGTAAATGTTTTTTTTTATCTCTATACATTGCCATGCCACTAATATGTAAAATTATTGTGTATTTTACACCGCCACATCATCATATTTCCTTTTTCCTTCATCTTTCCCATTCCATTAGCAAATCAACCCTATATTAAGTAAGTTTGTAAAAATTATGTAGAGTCCAGGCATGACACTGGTTAATCATTATTGGGAAATATATTTTTACACAAAAGGTATAAAATAATAACTAGAGTTAAAAATAAATAATTCAAACACATTAGATTTACAAAAAATATATATATACACAACGATTAAAGATGCTCTTTTATTTATATATATATATATATATATATCCAAAATTTTATGCATGAAAAACATTTTTTTATTTATAAATTGTAACCTTTCAAAAAAAAAAATTAAAGCAAATAAATATAAATTATATATATATATATATGACTGTATCAGAGTTGTCTTTACTCCCGCGTTTGGCGCTGATTTATTATTTTTCTCCCTCCGCTAGGTGTGTTCATAAAGCCATGGACTCTGTGCAAAAATGACTGACCAACCAGACCTGTCAGTCACTTACACACAGCCTATAAGAACACTAGGATTTGGGGTTTGGCCTTGTAGCCTCTCTTGGCCTTTTCTGCTTTTGTCTAACCCTCCTATGAGAAAACAAAAGCAATACAAGGTAAAGCAAAACAGTGCTTCCAAGTGGTAGTCCTTAAAAACCCCTAAACAATCTCCAAAACACCCACACATCTCTCACACTTCTCTCTCTCTCTCTCTCTCTCTCTCTCTCCTCATAATCTCATATCCATTGCCGAAAGTGAAGCATGGACAATCAACGCAGTCCTCATCTTAGTTGGGCTTACTACTGCCAAGGAAAGGTAGAAATCTTCTTCTTCTTCTTTTCAATATATGTGTTTGTGTAATGACTACTGAGTGTTGAGTCCTCTGTATTGGAGTCAGTAATGGTGTTTTCTTCTTCTTCTTCTGCTTAGATATATACAAAATGGGCTTTCATTCGTCGTAACCTACAATGCTATTCAGACCTAATAGTATAACCGACAATTCTAACTTGAGATTTCTATTCTTTGCACGAATTTTGATAAAAATTCCTCGGTTAGGATTCTCAGCTAGACTGCTAGTTAAAGAGTCTCGTTTAGACTTTCAGGTCTAAGAATTATATTTGATTTGAAAATTGGGAGCTAATTCATGATGGGTATTTGTGTGTGTGTGTGTGTGTTTTGTTTTTTTTACAGAGTAATGAGAGTATGGAGGAGCTAAGGCAATTACTGTTGCTTACAACTCTGGAACTGGAAACCACAAGGCTAAAAGCTCAAGAGGAGATAAAAATGAGAGATGATGAACTGATCCATCTCAAAGATCTTCTCACCAATGCCATCAGAGAAAGAGATGAGGCCCAAGAGAAATGCCAAAGACTCCTCTTTGACAAGCTCTTACTCCAACAGCACTACCACCACCAAACAGCCCCAATCTCTGGAATTTCGAGCATCGAGGATGAGCCCAGAAGGGGATTAGACTCAGCCAACGGGTTTTCTTCCTCGGACTGCGAAGAAAGCATCGTTTCTTCTCCGGTCATCGACCCAATTCCACAGCCGCCGCCGCCGCCACCACCACAAGCACCAGCGGCACAGCCACCAATTGTGCCTGAAAAGGCACTGCCGGAAAAGGGGAAGCTTTTGCAAGCAGTGATGAAAGCAGGGCCACTACTTCAGACCCTCCTCCTGGCCGGACCGCTTCCGCAGTGGCGCCACCCACCGCCACCACTTGACTCCTACCAGATCCCACCACCACCATTGGCAATTCCATCACTGCCATCGCCAACCCAACTCCTCCACCAAGATTGTTTGCTCAACATTAGTGCTTCTTGTAACAACAACAATTCTGATAACTGTGGCACAGTCAATAGGAAAAGGGGTCTATGTGAAGTCTCTGAATCTCCCACAGAGAACAAGTACCAAAGAGTTGTTCTCCAATGACTGTCACTATTTAAGGGTAATTTATACTTAGTTATATAGTAATTATATCTACCATTTATAGTACTAATTAAGGTTAGTGAGGATGATATATTGCAAGTTGAGTATGATATGATCTAGCATTTGTATAGAGGTTTGTTTTTTTTTAGAAGAGAAGGATCCTAAGTTAACTCAGCAGAGGGAGGGAGGGAGGGAGAGAGAGAAAAAAAAAAAAACCAGCAAAAAAAAAAAGGGGAAAAAGAGCTTGTTTAGGGCTTTCTTTTTCCTGTGTTTGGATGGATTTTCTTGGCACATCAATTTTTATCTGGGATGTGAAAAAGGGTTTCACTTCCCTAAGGTAAATGTGGGATGTAACATGTAATTATTGGTGATAATTGTGTTTGTGACGTTGTTGTGTGTGTGTGTGTGTGAGAGAGAGAGAGAGAGAGTGAAAGAGAGAGAGAGCACATTAAACTTTAGGGAGAGAGAGGGAGAGGTGTGGACTGTGGAGTTGTTGAAAATGGGAGGTGGGTATGGCCAACAACCAAAGGTCTCAGAGCCCTACATGTCGGGTTGGGTGGATCCCACGAATCCGAATTAGGATCTACTACTATTGTGATGTTTGATTATGTTAATCTTATCTGATGTTTTCCAAATGATTAATCTCTCTCTTCTATCTTCTCTCTCTAATTCAATTTCCCTCCTTTTGTATCTTCCTCCACTTATTTATTTATATTTACTTCTGCAGTTATAAACAATGGATCAGCGTGTGTCAATTCACACTAAAAATATGTTTCTTATTTGACATGAAATTTGAGAATACAAACTCAACAAAGCAATCTCAACCAAAATTATATGAACCAAAATCCTCTCAAGTGCACGGCTGGATACTAGGGTTCACCCAACTGTGAATCTAACTGTTGGTGGGGTTATTTGAAATCAGAACTCCGATCTCCTTATGCGTTGATGTTATGCTTTAAAATTGTATTGTTTTGATGGACATGTATGGATCACGTATCGTACTTCGTATAACTTGTCTAAATTACACGAATTTATGTATGTTAAATTTTGAAGTAGGCTCACAATTTTTTTGAATTATTTTATTATTTATACTAAGATTAGGAGATAAAAAATTGGAATAGCACCTCTAAGAAAAAATGAGCGTTATAGATCCCCCATTCCACCTTATGCCAATAAAACCGTCGGCCTTTGAAAGCTCTGTTTTCAGAACAAGGAAATATTCCAACTGGTAAAAGAGGGAGAGAAATTTGAGACGGTCCAGATGGAAATTGTGTGTGTGAGTGAGAGAAACTCCGAAAGGGTAGGTATGATGGCACCGAGTAAAAGATGATTATTGATTGATTTTTATGTTAATAACTTGTGATCATATGAAACAAAACTAATCATTCACGAAAAAAAAAAAAAAACACACGATTTCCCACTTTGTTTAGTTAGTCCAATCCATTTTTTAGTGTACTAATTTGATTAATCACGTTTCTTGACTGATTGCAACGTCTCTAACAAGAAATTACACATTCAACTGGCGGCGGGACCAAATTAGATTTTTCACTATGAAAAATTGCTGTACATGTGAAAGAGGATAAGCTTTCGACTAACTAATTGACAAATATGTATGTAAGTAATTTGAATATTAGCGTGTTCACAAGTGTGCTATAAACAAACTTGTTTAAACGACAAATGCTTTATGTTGAAATCTATAATAAATGTGCTATAACATAATTTAAGTGTAGTTGAGATCTCTTTTTAACATCATTATTTTTAATTTTAATGTACTTAAATATTCTAAAACATGATTTAAATGCATTGAAGAACACACTACAACATCTAAAATCCCCCTCTGCTTTCAAAACCCTAGTAAAATTTAAAAAATCTCTAAACTAACAAAACTTATCAAGTTACCCCCAAACACCTACCGTTAAATGAGTTGCGAAATATCAAATTTTACCATACTTTTTAATATCAAATTAAAAGTTATAATTATTATTTTTAAATTAAAAAATACAAATTATATAATAATATTATTTAATATTTGATTAGTTGTTATCTTACTAGCGCTGAACGACTCATTTCTCGCCCCATTATTACTTTTTATAATTTTAAAATAATAATTATAACTTTTAATCTAATATAAAATATTAATATCAAATTTGATATTTCATAACCCATTTATCCGAATAACGTGATGACTATTGTTAATTCAACAAGTTTTTTTTTAATTATACGCCCGATTTTGAAAGTAGAGGGGGTTATATAATTTTAAGCCCACACTATAATATAAATGTAGACACGTACTACTAATGAAACGATAGATTAACCCAAATGGCCTTTAAATTTCATGCCAAATTATTGACTCTCACCTTCCACGTGCAATGTGCAACGGATTAGCAGAAGAGTAGAATTGTAGGAGTAAACACCAACATGAATGTTCAGGGTCGAGCCCGAAGCCCAAGCCATCGGTGGACTGGCCCACACGGCTGGACCAAGAGACTTCCAACGACTTCCCTCGCTGCATCACGTTCAAAAGACGACCATACTAGATTGGCAAATGGCAGATGGCAGATGGCATTCTTCCATTTCCAGTCAGGCAGTCGTCCACTCACACTAGAAATCGAAATTGTCGCTATCATTACTCAAGACTCGTCTCTCTCTCTCGACAGACTGGACACAAAGTCCATCGGAGTGGTGCCTGCCACTGGTATGAACTAAATTATGACTTTATACAACGCCCGGCAAATCTGGACATGCGTAGCTGTTTCTATATGGAGTCTCCCCACAATTGACGAATATCGGCATGTCATGTCATTTTCCAAGGACGGAACCAACAAATTCTACATCTAAGATATTTACTATACAGTGATTAAAGAGTGTCATGGTGCGATGTCATAATTGTTGATACAAGACAATACAGGAATCAATAAGCAGGAACGTAGCATTTGAGTGAAAATTCGTTGCAGTAAAAATGGCAACGGTAGTATCAATCAGTAGGAGGTATACAACTATACGTACATTTTTAAAAAACTTTCTTGATGATAAAAAGTTGTTTAAAATCATTCAAGTTGATGCTGTCAAAGTCTTCGATTCGCATTACCTGTCTAATGCGAGGCAAACAACCCTTGGGCAAACCTCAATCCGGCGTTGATGTGAATCCCTTGGCCAATCAAACAGCTGTGCCAGGTTAAACACGTTATGATTAGAAATGCCACTCCATTCATATTGTGTGAATGTCATGCTTTTGTAAACAAATCTGCAAGGAAAATTTTAAACTCCAAGAGTTAATAAACCACACAAAAAGTTATCCATGATATGATATGATAAGAAGATGATCGAATGACCTGTCAAAAAAAAAAAATTGATGAGCGAATGATCTTTTCAGCCATTAACTTTTTGCTGTTGCTTGTGATGCTGAAAAAACTTTTGAAACTCTCTATAAAAACTACCAAAAAATCATATGGTCATCACCATCTCAGCATTATAGCAATATTACAGACAAATCATATCTCAAAATGGGCTCATCAGGTTGTCAAATCCTACACCAATAGCACATTTTCTATTTTATTATTTTTTTTTTTTTCTCAGAAAGCATGCTATGGGTTTGACAGTCGAGTGCAAAAATCCAGAAATATCTACTCACTTTTTCTGTTGACAAGCTGTTGATTTTACAACGAAAATCGCAGCTTATAAAAAGACACACACGACGAAAAGTTTGCTTCAATCATCTTCATTTTCAACTTGCTTATCCCGTTGATTAAGTTTTTGAGCATTATACATCTCAGCAACCTAAGGGAGAGAACCAAAAAGAGTCCAGAAAAACAAGACGACCCAACATAAAAACAGTAAATTGTCAGATAGTTAAATAAAAACAAAAATAAAAATAAAAATAAAGCAAAAAGTTATAACTATTCTTCACCATCTCGGATGACGTGGCTTGCTCTGGACTCTTGTCTTCTCGAACACGGAGCAGACGCGGAAAGCGGAGAGAAATTCCCTTTTACAAGAATACAAGAAATGATATGAGGATAAGGGCAGCAGATAATATTCATTATATAATACAGCAAATAAATAGCCTGCACTCTTCTCATGTAATAAAAATTTGCTTGCACTCACCATATGGCATGTACAATGCTAGAAGTGCAGTAAACACACACAGCCAAAGACAGACAAACCCTCCCACCCACTACCACACAAGGATATGGCCTTACAGCTGAAAAGCAAAGGGGGAATTGGTAGCCAACCCAAGTTATTAGGATTTAAGGCTCTGTTCAGTTGTCCGAGTGAGTGCAAGCTCACCCTTGCATGTACTAGAAAATGATAAAAACCCTCAAGTACAAAACAATATCCATATCAACCTTTTCAGGATCCACATCACCAATTGCAGCACGATGAACAGGGCTAATAGTCAAGTCTGCAGCTTTCACCTCCCACACCTGAAAGAGAACAACCCGAGATGCATAAATAAATGAAGGGAGCTAACTTTCTTGATCAAACTTGGATAATGCTACTGGTAAACTAAAATATCCCCATCTCCTTCCCCCTCCACCCAAAAAAAAAAAAAAACACCACAACAACAACAAATGTATTAAATTTGAAGGTGACTCATTCAACTAAACGACCATGAATATGGCAGAACTTCCAAGAACAAGATTTAAGACAATTAGAGCCAAGTGACAGTCTAAAAGTGTTTTTAACATAAGAATTGAAAAGTTAGATTAGGTCGCACTCATTCCTCAGTTTTCCTACTAGTAAAAATAAAATAAAAATTTATGCACGTGTAAAGAACCTCAAAATCTTTGTCAGTAAGAAAAGACGCCAAAAACAGCTTTATTCAAGGCCAAAGAGAGTAATAATAGCAGTAAAGGTAAATCAATGAAACATTAGTTTTCCATATGCGCAATCGTCAAGTACAGAGAATACTAACTTAAGGCTCACTTAGAAACAAGAAGAAAAAGTTTAATGTTCAACTAAGAGATTTTTCTAGTTACACTGACATTATTAATTTGTGACAACTCTATCCAACAAAATGATAGATAACTACATAAGAAAAAACCTGCAGATAACAAACAAAGTAAATTCAAAAGTTATAAGAAGAAATGGAAGAAAGATAAAATAAAAGAAACGAGGGGATACATCCAAAAGGACAAGAAAATTATAATTAATTACCTCGGCAGGTTCGAACCAGACATCTGGATTGATTGTCTCTGCATACCTATAGTACGACTGACACAACATGAATGTTAGAATTAGCACGTAAACTAATGCGAACCTGACATACAGACGATGCATCAATGGTTCGATTATAATGGAAGGGAAAGCAATACAACCTTTGGATCGGGAATCACTTTAGAACGAAGACTGGCAGAACGCTCTTCAAGCATAGCTTCAGAAAATCCAGTGCCTATTCAACATCACCCAAAAATTCCATGATGGTTAAACATCAGGGGATTAGTAGGTAAGAAAGATTATAGCCTCTCTCACTCTCTCAAGATAATATAAATCGCTTACCAATTTTACAGATGCTTTGATATTCATCATTATTGCTATCATAACAAGCAAGGAGAAAGGCACCATATACACCTAAAAGAAACAATATGATACCATCAGCGCAATTCATATTTGAGATAAGAGAGTACTAATTGTTAAGAAGAATAGCATGAATTATACAAAAAGCTGCATTTTGTTCACTATAATTAAAGGGTTATGCTGAAGAGTACTATAAAGAAATTATTACCAGCACGTTTCCCCCGGCCATGAAAAGCAGCAATGGGTACTAAATCTAGTGAGTCACCAATACTGTAGCAACCAGTAAAACAGGAACTAGTTCATTAATCTTAATTAAAAACTATATCCAAAGGCAGAAGTAATACCACTTCCCTCAATTACCCCGCTGGAGAGGGGCGGGCGGGGAGATTGGGGGGAATTACCACTTACCTCTCCATGTAATCTTTCTTCAATTTTAGCCAGTTATTTGACCTTTTTGAAGGCTCGTATGTAGCATCTCTATCCAATGTTTTAACGATCAAACCCTCACAACTGCAAAATTAGATGAACTAATGATGAAATGATAATAGCATATGACTAAGAAAATTACAAAGTAACACTTCAGTAATTCATTAAAAGAACAGTTCTGCTGGACAACTGCTAAGAGCCTACAAAGAACAGCTGCAGGATCACAATTGAGGCACCGTATAAATCATATAATTGCATAAAGCACAAACCATGTTAAACAAAAACAAAATACTTAAAAGTCATTGCTGAACCACTGAGAATTCATTTTTCTTTTCTGATGTTCCCCCAACCCCCTTCCTGGATGTGAGGGGGCATGCAATATTAAGCAAATAAAAATGTGGCCAGAGAAATCGAACAAATAACAACGTCCACTTCTTCTTTTTTTTCTTTTTCTTTTTTTTTTTTGTCTGCTTGTTCTCAAAGAAGATGTATATTTAGGTATTGAACATACATATTAAATTCACTAATTTCTCCATAGTTTTATTATTTTCGTAATACAATTAAATAACCTAATTCCTCTACCGACTTTCATCAAGCTAACAATAGGTATGCACCAATTGTCCATAAATTAGGTGTTACTCAACAAATGTAATTAACTACAAGCTATAAATAAAACAGTTTCTATTTACATGGTTGGGAGTTTGCTTCCTGAAGCATGTTGTAGAAATTTTGTAATATTAAATGTGATCAAAATCCAATGAGAAGACACACTACAAACTGGTGAAAATTATGATTTATTAGGTTCACAACCACTTGCCTGACCCCAAAAAAAAATGTAAACATGAGATAACTATCAGGAATCACCTGATATAAACAAAGAGGAAAATATACCTGGAATCAACAGAAGTTTCAAGGAATTTTTGTATTTCCTCGAGATCATTTGATGTTATAGCTGTTGCAAACAGAAAATATCCATGTTGCTCTTCAAATGAACTATAAAGATGCTGCACAAAGCCATAGCCCCAAAGGAATGAATAGAGGCAATATCAATTCCATGAAAGAAGTCAACAAAATGAGATATGATCAATGACTGTGATAATCATGAAATTGAAACATCCTACCCCTTTTAAAGGAGAGAAATATGTAAGATGTCTTAACCTATACTCTTCCTTTTTTTTTCTAACTTTCTACTTTTCTAAGCTTTTGAAATTCTAATACATACCTACTTAACTACTTTTCAACCCCTGAGAATCTTATTTATCAAGCCTAATTCCTTTCTTCATATGGACACAACTCTGGAACGCCAAAACACACACACACGAGCCCTCGCCTACTCAAGGGTACTGTTCAGGGGAACTGATCGCATCTCCAAAAGTTTGTCATGCGTTCCTTGATTTTAACCTAAAATATATCTCTCTTTTTAGCCTTACAAAACCGTTAACTTCTTCATTTCATCAAACTTTTAGCCACGAAAAAGAAAAGGATACCAATGCCAATTATACTTTGATTTGGGGGCAGAAAAAAAACAATAACAATATATCAACCATATCTCATGCATAACTCGATATTGAAATAAGCAGAAACAGACACTTCCAGAACCACTGATAAGACTGATTGCTAATGCTAGAGAGAGAGGAAAAAAAGAGGAAAGAAAAACATAGTGCAAGTTCAGGGTTAACTGAAACAAAAATCAACCTTACCTCTCTACGAATGTTAAGTTGCTCCTGTAACAGTTGTTTGCCATTAAGATATAAGATATCAAAGGCAAATATACAAACATTAACCTTGATGTCATTCAATTTCACATTTTTGCGAGCACGTGTACTGAGAACCTGCAAAAAACACAATGCATAAAGATATCTTCTCTGTCATTATATGTACACACCAACCTTACACAGAGAGAAAGAAAGAGTATTTAATAAAATATTTTAAGGAATAATTGTTTTTAACAAAAAATTAAAAGAGCAGAAACAACTAATGTAGATAGAGTTGTAAGCAGAACAAGGCCCATATACAAGAAGAATAAACGATAATGATGTAAACGGCTAACCTTGAAAACATAGAAAATTAATTGATTTTACTGAAAATGAATTCAGAAAATAAATTAAAGCCTAAAATGGTAAGGTTATTATGTATTAAATAATTAAATGTATAGGAAATACCAAATAAAAACCAATAAGAGTCTCCCTGTGTTATTGGCTAGAATGGTCCAAAGAAAGACCGGCTGGTTTCACTTTACCAAGTTATTTGTCTGAAACGAAATTGGTGCTAATTTTGAATAATGTTGTAACACCCATGCACGTATACATAAAGCAAACTTCCTTTTCAACTGACAAAAAAATAAGCTAAGCTGTTTCTTAATAATTAAACTGTAAAGGTGAATGGTCTTCGCATATTTTCATACAGTTTATTACATCTATCAGTGTCCACATCACCATCTTTCCTTCCTAAAAAGGAAACTCGTGAACTAAAAATGCTGTAGCCAAAAATTGCTACACAGAAATCAAATTTTAGCTAAAAGAAACAAGATTAAAAAAGGGAACTGAACCGGCCTTATATAATTACAAAATGAACCATGGATTCATAAAAATTATTGGTGATAATTGATATGGTAAGGAAAGTAGCAGTGGTGAGACCTTGTAAATACAGCTTCAATTTGTTTGAACTGGAGGGAACAAAAAAAAAAAAAAAAAAAAAAGGATTTGGGGTCCCAAACAGGCCCTAAGATTCTATAATTGTTGCAACATTAAATTATATACAGCTTGACCAGAAAACACACACCTGGAAGGGCAGGATTTTCTGTTTTTCACGGTCATAAGCAACAAGTTCACAGTCCAAAACAAATGATGTTACAGACGGTTTCTTTAATCTGCAAGCCAACCATAGGTAGTTCAATGACAACGTTAACCCAAACATTTCATGTCAGAAAATCAAGAATTAGAATATCAGATTCTATACGTCAAAATACTAGAACTGTCTTCAAGTCTGGCCATCCAAATCAACAGTATAGGCAAAAAATGTAACAGGATATAGAAAAAACAGCATCATGACGTATAAACGGAGTCAAAATATCACTTCTCCTTTACAACACTGGCGTAAGTAGTATTTATCTGTTTATATGGCAAACATGAATTCCAAAGCATTAATCCAGATTTGTTGTCCAGTATACACAAATCAAGTACAAAGCAAGGTCTCAGGTGAGCTATTTTAAAAAAAAAAAAATCAGATGCACCTTGATGTATAATATGTATATACATCAACAATCCAAACTCCATACTCGACCAGACTGTTGAACTGTCTGGACCTTTAACTTATTTATGATATGGGCCTTAATACCACCTAGAACCACTCTAACCAGTATACCACTTTACTTTTTGAAGTTTGTTTAGAATGGCAGCTCAATTGCCTGTCCATTCAAACCACCCATGGTTCTAACATGAGCACTTTTATCTCATTATATAAAAGCCCAACTATTAGGGTTTCTTTAATGTTTTAAAGCAAAAGAAGACTCCTTCCAATCAAAGGGTTTCCATTGGCTCCTCAATTTGGCAGCTGCCATCTATCTCTCAAATCAAATACCTCATTATGCTGCTGCCGTCTTGGCCTTTTGAACACAAAATAACTATCCTTTTTCTAGGATTAGTGTAATCTTCCATGTCCAAAAGAAATCTTAGTTTTGATTTGTTTGCTTGACCATGGTTTATGAAGTTACTGATTAATGAATTTTAATAATTCCGACTTGTAGAGGATGATAAAGTTTACGCTTATGGTAAACCTTCATTAAAACACTCTCGTGACTTCAAAGGTACCTTGAATAAGTCATTTTTAACTCAAAACTCTCATTTTCTTTCAAAGTTTCTAACTTTATCCATTAAAACACTCTCGTGACTTCAAAGGTACCTTGAACAAGTCATTTTTAACTCAAAACTCTCATTTTCTTTCAAAGTATCTAACTTTATACATTAAAACACTCTCGTGACTTCAAAGGTACCATGAATAAGGTCATTTTTAACTGAAAACTCTCATGTTCATTCAAAGTTTCTAACTTTATACATTAAAACAATCTCTTGACTTGGTACCTTGAATAAGGTCATTCTTAATTCAAAACTCTCATTTTTAACTCAAACTATCATTTTCGTTCAAAGTTTCTAACTTTATACATTAAAACACTCTTGTGACTTCAAAGGTTACCTGGGGCATCAGGCTATCAGCAGTAAGGTCCACAGTATTAACAACTATGGACATTGATTCTCATCCTAGGCCTTTTAAGAAGAGGTGGACACTTTTCTTTCTTTGTAGCCTCTTTTGTTAATAAGCAAAGGGAAACATTGTTTTATTGGGTCCCCAACATGGGATAGGGTTTCCTATCTGTTCCGGTTGGAGACCTGGTTCGAAAGTGAGCACAAAATAGATACAAATAGGCACAAATTCTGAGAAATGACCCAACTCCCACATAATTTCATACAAAAAAATGCTTGGGCCATGATGAGCAATCTTTATTGCGTATTAAACGAATGACGAGTTCAATAGGATCTCCAAGTGTGAAACGGCCAAACAAATTTGGGAAAAACTTGAGGTAACCTATGAAGGTACCAATCAAGTTAAAGATACCAAAATTCACATACTGGTACATAAATATGAACTTTTTACCATGAATGGCAATGAATCAATTAGTGAAATCTTTTCTCGTTTTACTAATATAATTAATCCCTTGAAAGCTCCTGGTAGATCTTACTCAAATTCATTGCGATCAATAGCATCCCAATCCACTTTTGGTTTGTGGACATCTTTCCTTTCAACAACTTTTGTAGGGTTTTAGTCAGAAAGTCCATTCTATTTTCCTCCACAAGTATAATGCTAAAAACAATAGTGACTTCTAGGTTATTCGATTGCAAGTTTTGATTAAGTCCAAGACCACATTGCTCGACATGGGAGAATCAATTTATCGAAAACAAACCTAATCGATTTTCTCCTCTTTAGTGAATTTACAAACTTGACTAATATAGATACATATTATCATGTCATGTTTATATCAGAGTTCACCCCAGTTGACCTGAAAAAACTGCTAACTGTTTTTTTTTTTGATCAGTGAAAAAACTGCTAACTGTTAAGCCTTAACCTAGTATTTTTCTAGTTAAGTGGACAGTTTGCTTAACAGAAAGTAAGATTTCATTAAAGCGCTCAAGCAACAACTTCATTTATGTACTATCCAGAAGTTAAAAGCGAAAATCAAATAAAAATCCAATAAGAGGAATCATGCCAATAATTGAAAATAACAATTTTCTATGTGCTGTGCGTGTGTTAACAGAGGGTGTCCCCACCCAATTTGGGGGCGGCACTAATTGCTTTGGATTCCCAAAACCACAAGTATCGGGTAAGCCTTGGCAAAGGCTTGACGCCCCTAGGATTTGAACACAATACCTCTAGGCCATGCTTAGAAAAATCCTATGGGAGATAATATTCTATAAATTATATTATCATTTCACTTGGGCCAACTAAACAAATATTTACAGAGTGGAACCTTTGATGCTAAAGAAAAGATGGTATTACACATTTCACTATAGGGAATCAAATTTTTTAGGGTAGTTGAAATATCTCTGGACTTCATAAATTCTTCTACTTGTGTATATTCTATCAGCGACCACATATTGTAACTATTGTCATTGATATCTCAACCACCACCAATAAAAATAAAAATAAAAACTATTTGACTTCCATGTCCACTAGCCCTAGAAGCCCTCAACTAATCCAAAAATAAATGAAGGGCGTCTGGGTAAAAACTTCCAAAATGTTTACTAAAATGTAATCTTTTTCTTCAAGAATAATGTGCGTTCTCCTCGTAACATTTTTCAGTTAAAATTATTAAAAAGAGACATATGATCACATTAAAAATATAAATATAAATAAAAACTATTTCACTTCCATGTCCACTAGCCCTAGAAGTCTTCAACTCCAAAAATAAATGAAGGGGGGTAAAACTTCCAAAATGTTTACTAAAATGTAATCTTTTTCTTCAACAATAACGTGTGTTATCCTCGTAACATTTTTCAGTTAAAATTATTAAAAATAAACATTTCATCACATTAAAGAACATCAATCTACTCTTGGCTATGAGTCAAAATAAATTCCAATTTCTCATAACTTCAAACTCTAAAAGAAGATTAGATTTCTGACACTATTCAAAAAATAAATAAAAAAACAACACTTTTTTGGTAAATAAAAATATAACTGCTCTTCCCTTTTTCGAAAAAAATACAAGTTGAAAATTTAAACGACATCAAGCAGCAATAATTCCTAGTTTAATATAGAAAAATATTTAAAAATAGAACTTATCAAAGATATATATATGTATTTAAAAATATAAAGAACAAAAAATCATACCACATGTTGCGTTTGGCGTATTAAAATGATATCGGACTCCAACCAATCACCAACTTAACAAACAAGATGCAAGCATTTCCAGCCAATAACTATTACTACACTATAGGACAGCCAACATGTATGCAAGAATCAGAACGGTGGAATACAGAAACGTTACAGAAAATACTCAATGACGAATTCAAACAAAAAAATTCACAAGCACGTTAACTCCTTGTAACTCATGTAGTAACCACCAATTATTTTTCTCGTGTACCATCAGCACATACATACAAATATAGACTCCACCAGAAATGCCATTCTATAGAAATGTGTATAGACATCTACACTGCAGGCCTATGGCTAAATCAAATTCCCTTAGGATGTCTCAAAGTATAGCACATAAGCATTTTTTTAAAAAAAGAGAAAAAAAGAAGAAGAAGAAGAAGAAGAAAACATAGATCGTTGAAAAGGACTACCTTGACACCGCAATCTTGACATCAGGAAATTTTTCAGTATTTCGTTCGGCATTTCGACTATATATCTCAACTAAACCGTTCTCCATGTAATGTATCTGCATTGAACAATTAGAATTATGAAATTACGGCTCACAATAAAAAGACGACAGAAATAACAAAATTACCTTGATTATGTACTATTACCTGAGCACGTTCTCCATCATACTTGTATTCACATGTGAATACCATATCCTGAAATTTATCTAAAATCTCAGATACCCCTTTAGTTGGTTTCGCTAGCATTGGTCCAATAGGGACTCCCGGTGTAAAGCTACATGTCTTTGAAAGATTCCATACACCACCAGTAAGAAGAGCAGGGACCATTTTATCGTAGACAGGAATTACAGAGTAAACTTGTTTAACAATTTTAGCAGCCTGACAAACACAATAAAAAACTTATTATTGATCCCCAAAAAATGCATATTTATGCAATGAAAAATAGGTAACTACTCCTTGGCAGTCTAAAAACTGACACAGTATCAGAGCATACAACAGAAGAATCCTTTGGTATTGTTAATATATATATATATATATATATATATATATATATAAAATAAAAAAAAGGGTAATAACAACAATAATTTTCCTTTTTCATGAGATGCAAAGTATAATTGATAATCATACAAGATTTCAAACTGCCAGTACTAGAAGATTCACATTGTCACAAAAAAACCATCTAAAGCACCCCAAAGTACAGATCAGAGTCAGTAATGGAAGATCGTACTGTAAGCAGAAGAGTGATTTTTCATTATCAACATTTCATATCAGCAAGATTCAGATATGCTGAGATGTGAGACATATCACCATTATATAAATAGAGGTTTGGAGCTCATCCAAATTGTATTGTTCATATCAGAAAGGAAAACATGTTATTTTGTAAAATCATACAGACATAAACCGGCAAAGCTTAGCCTGGCTTGACAAGGACTCGTGTCTTAACAAATTCTCAAGCTCCTAATAAGCCTGAGATAATGAATTTAGGCTCGGCCCATCAAGGCTTTCATAAACACAATCTGATTCATATTGGGACTAAAAAATAGTAACTAAATTTACTGTGCAATTAATATTCTTTAGAAACCATTTAAAAAGTTCCTTTTAATGCTGTGAACAATCCAAGACAGTTCCTAAATGAGATTGATAATTACTACAGAAGAGCATATGAGAGTCCAACAGGGCCATCCGACAAGTGTTGATTGCTGCAGAAATGTGGATAAGTGTCCAAAACAGAAGCTTTCTAATATTATTTAAGATTTAAAATCTATTTTGTAACAGTTGTTCTTTACCTGCCCGACATACAGCAAAACAGATAAAACAAGTATTGTTAAAAAAGACATTCCCATGGTAAACAAAAAACTTCACAAAATCTATTTTGATTATAATGTGAATCCAAATTAATATATCTGCACAAATTCATTGGGAAGCTTTTACTCGAACTCTAATTGCACTTCAGAGCTTTGGAAATGCATCAAAAGCTCAATCATTCTCAAATGATTGGTACGATTAGTAATTTTTTCTTGATTAATCTTATTGATTTTGTTATTGCATATCTGGTTCATTATTAAATCTGTTGTGTCCTTTTAACTAATTAAAAAAGAAATTCAGTTGACATCAGATGAGTAGGGACTGATGTGAGGGAAGATGGGTGCAACCAAATATTCTGATTAGCTTCCATCTGGTCTCACAGAATAATTCCTGAACCCATTCATTCTGGTTGTGATAGAGCCAAAGTGCCTCATTATGGAGTTAGAACTCGTTTGTTTCCTAATATACAATCTATGTGGTGACTCTAGCTTGAAAAAGTGGACCAATCTGGAACTGTCAGCGAGAACGAGCAAATTTGGCAGCATTAAAGTGAAGCCTATATTTCCCAGCCAAAGAGAAGGTTTTTCAACATGATCAATTAAAAAGATAAATTTAAATAACACATTTTATCCTTGGTAAATGGCACATCATCTCACCTCTTCTAGAGGAGAATCTATGTGCCCTGGAGCTGAAGAATGTTTTTCAGAATATACAGCAGCATGCCCAAGTGCAACTAAAAGAGTTTGCTCTGCCAAACCAATCCTCAGTTTTGTCTGCATGGAGGATTCAAAAGTAATTTTTTGATAGGAGAAAGAAGCCAACACACTTAACAAAAACTTATTTCCAAATTATTACCTGAAGTAAACGAATTAAATATTGAGGTTCACAATCAGTGGCTGCAACAAGAAGTGCCTTGATATGGTTTTTTTTCTTCTCTTGACTATCCTTGCCAGATTCCTATCAAGATTAAAAATAAAATGATGAAAATTTGATTGCGGCAAACACTAGTTTATTGTCACAGTATTTTTACTGATAAAAAAGGATTTAGTATCTCAGTATGTACATAAAGCATATCAAAGTCAAAACTCAAATTTTGGTTTTCAAGTAAATAAAAGGATGAGCACCTTGGCAATGAGGCGAAATGTATCAAAAACCTTGGCGACAGTTAGTGCTTCAGGTTTACGCATTAAAGATTGGGATGAACGGCTTGCTTTTGCAACAAGGCCCAAGTCTCCCAATTCCTGCAATTAAGAAAATTTTTAATACAATCATTAGAAAAATCAAACAAGAAAAAGAGGAAGGGGGGAAACCACCCAAGGCAGGTTAAATAGAAAAAAAAAAATTCAACAAAAATCTTCAAAATCTTTAATCCTCCAAATAAAGTTACAATCCATTCTTGGAATAATACCATCAATGTATGTGTTCAGTTTCAAGATATAACATGCGAAAGGCATGGTCCAAAGCATTAAACAGTTTTTTTTTTACAAGTAAAAAAAATTAATTAAATAAGCATTATATATATTGGTGCATTTCACTAAAGATATTGTTACTATAAACAAGCACAATGCAACAAAAGAGTAGACCATGGACCAATACTCCTCAATAGTTTGTCCTATTCATCATTCACGCTTTAGGAGAAAAAAACTTGAAAAGCTCCGGAGGAACTTCTTATAGGGTGGGATGAGGAAAGAATTCAAGTTTAATGGACTAGGTTTAGGGTGGTGCTACAGATTAGCAAGGGACTAAGTATTAAGAAGCTGAGCATGTTCAGCCAAGCCTTGTTGTAAACGGAAGGGGAGATTTGCACTGGAATAGGAGAAGTTCTGGTGTAGAGCAGCGGAGAAGAATTATGGCTGTGCCTGGGGTGGTTGGGCATCGAGAGAGATGGGCTCTTTTTACAGCATGGGTGTGTCAAGAAGTATTATGAAGGAAAGAGGAGACTTCCCTAAGAATTTTCTGCTTGTGGTGCAAAATGGCAAGAACATTAGATCTGGTGTTATGTGTGCTGTGGGAAGCTGACTATGAAGAAGAGATTTCAAGATCTTCTCAAAACAGCAATGCAGAAAGAAGGATTTATTGCAGAATTATCCACACAAGAATAATGGTGTGGCATGGAATCCTAGATTCATGAGAGCCTTCCGGTACTAGGAGTCAGAATCTGAGGGTGTTTAGTTGGTATTGCTTCAGGGGATCCTAGTTTTGGAAGGGGTGAAGGATTTGATTCTTCGATATAAAAGCCAAGCTTTGCGACCCTAAACCGATTCCTTACCGAAGGACTTTCCTCTAGCACTCAATGCACTAAGAAGATGGTTATCTAGAAATTTCAGCAGTGTTTTCCCTAGATCATCATGACCGAGCCCATTCACTTAGCCAAATTCAACCACTTTCATGTAAATTAAAACCTAAATGCTTTCTTCCACATGTTCAACCTAAATCAACAAGCTTGTCATTCTCCATCACAGCCTCTTTTTGTGTTTGGAAAACACTTGGGCAACTATATTTCTCTATTTATACACAAACATAACTTATCAAAAAAAAATAAAATCAACAAGCTTGTCATAACCTAAACTCACCAAATATTTAATCATAGCAATCAATATTCTTAGTTTTCAAACATTGTCCTACACCATTTTGGTAGAGCTTGTGACAACCGCTGCACTCGTCTGTTGTTACAGGGATGAATTTTACTATGAAATTTTTGCCTCTGTTATGGCAGTGGGACCACCAAGTCTCAGCCAAACACACTCACAATGCACACAAAGTAAAGAGGCACAGAGAATTACAGGACAAAATCCCAACCTTTGATCTTATTGAAACGGAAGAATACAAAGGACACTAATTCGTACTAAGGGCCCAGCACTCACTGCATGCCTCAAGCACACTCTGCCCTAAACACAGCCCTAGCATCAGTTTTATAGACATCTCACAAAAACTGCCCATAAACTGTGCTGCGTGTGTCTGCACCAAGACACAACAGAGTAGGTCGACAAGCCCAACCAAATAGCCACTTGAACCAATCAAATGCCTACAACCCACAATGGAAGTTGCCTCCCTCAATTTCCCTTTTGTGTCTGAATAAGACACAGGTATGCAGTTGGCATCACCCAACTGCTGGGAATGCTGGCCAATGAGCACCAGCCATTTAAATCAATGCAGTTTAGTTCATATTCCACTCATCTTAAATTATGTTTATATTCCACATTGATCTCCCAATTTCTGCACAAATATTTTAGTGTTCCTAAGCCTATCTTGCTTCATATTAGGTCTCAAGGTCCATACCAAACAAACTTTGTTTGTGATCTTTTCTTTTCATTTCAGGTACATGCTCAAATCTATGTGAACCTTAAAGGTCTACAACTGTACTAAATTCTTGATGACGTCATTCCAAATTTATGGACATAGAAAGGGAGAAAAATTGAACTTTGCAATCATATACAATCTATGACAGTTGCAATCCTTGAAACTTTATGATGATGTGTAGATGCAGATTTGCATGCATCTACACAATGAATGAATGTGCATGTGGAAAGACTACTATTGTCCAGATTCAAACACAAAGCCTCGCTCGCTATTCAGTGCTTTTTGTTAACTGTGCAACTCAGAGGCGGTGTCCACTGCATATCTGGTAGTGGTCATCAATTATTGAAGATAGTGCAATAGCTTATCTGATTTCTACTTTAAGCAAGAAACAAAATAAGTCTGGGTAATATGGTGAAATAGATGATAAATAGTTTTGAACACAACTTACACAAGCAAATACAAGTCCATTGAAATCTCAAATACAACTCAAGACAACAAGGATATGATTACATTACCTTGTACCGTGTCTTAATTTGAGATTCTTTTGCACCGCAAGCTTCTGCAAGCGCCTTAATAATAGAAGCATCCCCTATCCCAAGCTCCAGCCCTTCGTGTGCTGCTGCAATCCTATTCCCCGAAAGATAAACAACCGGAAGCAAATCATCAGGCGTCGTCTGAATCACCGTTCTCAACATATTACACACAATCTCTGTGATAACAATCCGACCCGACTCCTCTGAAATCGCATCAAACACCTTACAAAGAAACAAAAATGGCACCCGCTCGCCATCCATCCAGAACGCAGCCAATTTGGGGTCAAAACTCGCCGCCTTCTTCTTCAATTGCGCAATGCTTTCATCGGCGCTAATCAGACGCGATTTCTTGGCCGCCGGTGCGTCCGACAACGACTTCGAATCAGGGTTTTGTTCATTGGGCCCATTCGATACTTGGGTTTTTTCAAGCAGTTTTGAACTGGGGTTCTTGGGATCATTTGGAGGTGGTTGATCATTATTTTCACTTGAATTTGGAGTTTCAACGATTGGCTTTGAAATGGGGCTTTGGGTAGTACTAGGGATTTGGGTTTTGCATTTCTTGGGCGAAGAAGATTGGGGTTTTTTCTTGGCAGCTGCTCGGGCATTGGCCATGAGAGCTTCTAAGGCCGAGGGTTTAGATGACATCCTGTTGATGCTATGGTGGGAAAAGGAAGGCAGTTTGAGAGATAAGGGTTTTAGTGAGAAGAAATAAGAGAGAGAATAGCGTCTGAGAGATGGTATTAGGGTATTAGAGAGAGTGGTGTGAGACAAACAATGGTAACATGGGCGGAGTGTGGACATCAACAGATGAAGGAGGAGAAAGTCCCTTTTAGAGAGAGAAACGGAGGAGTGAGAATGGCGGTAAAGGAGAGAGGATTTGGCGCAGTTTATATGCCGTTGTGGCGACTGACTGGGGAAGAACTGAAGAAGTTCACTGCTTAATTCTACGTTTGGGAAACCTGGACATTCGTTTAGGGCTTGTGTATGTTCGGCTGCTGGCAGCCCACCGGCCTATGGGCCTTGTTTCTCTCTTTTGACCATCCACCAGATACAAGGTGAGACCAATAGATAAAGAGAAAATAATCTATTGAAGTTTCAAAGGAAGAAGACAAACCGTTTTTGGAGATATTTCACGAATTGCTTACTCCTGCAACTGAAACAAACAAACAAATTAAGACGTAAGACGCATTATACCAAATAATACAATTCTTCCAACACAACTCTTTGATATAGCCATATACAAAATTTTGAACATCATATGAGTAAAAATATTAATACAAGCTGCAACAATGATGCATTAGTGAAAACTCTACAGAACTGACACTTAAATCATCCAAAGGCTTTTTTGAGAAAACAAATAAAGATACAAAAACTTCATTCAGTATATAGAGCAATGACTAGACAATTGAGATCTGAACATCAGAGTGAAATATACTCGTAAAGAAACAAATCGCCGATACCCATCACAGTAACTGCAGTCACCGGTAGGGCTGCAAATGAGCCGAGCCGTTCGCGAACTACTCGGGCTCAGCTCGTTAATTACTCGGCTCGAGCTCGGTTCTTTAACAAGTGAACTGAGCTCAAGCCGAATTATGAGGCTCGATTTATAAACGAGCCGAGTCTGAATATCAGTATACTCGACTCGTTTGTTCATGAACCGTTCACGAACTAGGCTCGATAATGCTTTCACGAACATACTCAATTATAATATATATATATATGTATTGTTCATGAACCGTTCACGAACTAGGCTCGATAATGCACGAACTAGGCTCGATAATGCTTTCACGAACATACTCAATTATAATATATATATATATATATATATATATACAAAAGTTGGGGTCAGATTGTAATTGTAGCACATTTATATGTAGATACATATATATGTTGGGGTCATATTGTAATTGTGTATAGAGTTTGTGGTTATTATGCAAATACACCATTCTTGTCTTTGTATATAAACCCTGTTATGTTTAGGGTTTGCGCCTCTATCTCAAAAGTGCTCTCTCTCTCTCTCATCATCCGCATCGTTTGAGACAGAAAGCTCCTCCATCTCAGATTCTCGATTTTTTTTCTCTCATCATGGACCACAAACAATCCCAACCAGGCAACCATCAATGAATCTCGATCTGTTCTCTCTCTCTCATCATTGACCACCAACGATCCCTAACCAGACAACCATCAACGAAGAACGGTTGTCACGGTCGCCGGAATCTCACTCCCTCATCTACCCTCTCTTCGACAGTTCTACCTCTGGAATCCCTTCCATCTACCACCGATGGCTTCACCACCTTCGTCCATCACCACTCAACCCTCCTCTCTCCTCTTCTCTCTCTCCTTATATATATATATATGTATACCAACCTACACCGGTGCTACCATTGACCCTCTCTTTTCCTGCAATTCTATCTCCCGCCGTCTGGTCCTTCTCTCGCCGTCTCTGTCTTTTTCGGTGACCAAGGCGATTCCTGCCGATCGTCATCGTTGTGCCGATTTCTGGCACTGAGAGTTGTAGCCCACGAGCTATCGAGCTCCGGCTCGAAACTCGTCAAACATAGGCCGAGCCGAGTTCGAACTAAATTTTCTAGGCTCAACTCGAGCCCGAGCCGAGCTTGAGCAGCCTATTATCTGACCGAGCCAAGCTCGAGCACACCATTACTCGGCTCGACTCGGCTCGATTACAGCCCTAGTCACCAGAACAAAAGCTGATATAGGAAAACAAAATTATTTGCATATATTAGTGAAAATTGAAACACAACTAATTAAAAGAGGGGTAAAGTGCAAAAAACCCCCCTAAACTTTTATTTTGACAGTTAACCCCCTAAACTATTAAAATTGTTGCAAAAATTACCCACTGCCAAGGTTCCATTTGGTTCCTCCGGCTAAATAGGCGCGTGATCATCACATGCATAGGCTGTAATTTGAAAATGACTAAGCTACCCTTGCTACCTTATTCCAAGTCAAGAGAATGGCCGGCGTTACAGGACTTCCTTAGTTAAGCTAACCGAATGTAAGAACTGGCGTGAGATCATCTATCAAGATTCGAATTTATGGAGTCTGGATTTGAGTCCTCACTCTAGTCCTTTCCGTCTTTGTTTGTGGAAAGCAGGACTGTTATATGATGTATAAATAAAACAAAATTTCCGAATTTGATGATACTTTCCTTTTCTTTCTTTCTTTTTTCCAAATTGAAGAGATCACCAAATTAAACCCAATCAATCGTCCAATGTTGAAATCCTATCCCTACCAAATCGCCATCTCTGTTTGGAACAATTGAATGCGAATATGGAGAACATAAAACAAAATTTCCAAATTGATAATACTTTTTTTTTCCCAAATTGAACACCAAATCAGTCGTCGAAAGTTCAAATCCTATCCCTACCAAATTGCCATCTTTGTTTGGAACAATTGCCTCCATCTCCTTCTCGTTTCATCATAGAAATCCAGAAATCCAGATTTCTTTGTTAACTTCATTCAAGTTCTGATCAGCAATCTCATTCCCGCTTTAGATCTACTGATACATCAACAGCACCAAGAATACATCCCTCGTGATGTGGTCCAGGCCGTCGTCGGCGACCACCATGTAAATCAGCTACCGGTTGGTGCAAAGACAAGGCAAAGGATTTGATCGTTTTCTTCGCTGTAATGGACTGGTTGGGTAAGGGGGAGAGAGGGAGTTTGTTCGCACCGAGGAGGATTCGGCGTCTCTTGACGCCGAAGAGGGTTTTAACGGCCAAGAGAGAGGTGGTGTTCGGTGAGACACATAGTCAATCAATTTGTTAAAGGTGCGATTGGAAGTGCAAAATCAGAAGCCTGAGCCATCGTTGGGGCCGTGACGGTGAGGAGAGAGACTAAGGTTAGAGAGAGAAAAGTTACGGCAAAACCCATTTTTATGGCTCTCATGGTTTGGTTCTTGAGTTAGCGGGGTGTTATGAGAAGAAGGAAATTGGAGAGGGAGTTGGGTCGAAGGGGGTCGGGGGGCTGTGAACGGTGGAGGTGATTGGGGAAGAAGAATTTGTGGGAGAGGGTTGGTGGCGGCCATGAGAATGGAAGGACTACTAAAATGAGGTGGGGAACAGGTGTTCCACGCAAAGTGTGGGGTGTTGTTTTGTGATAAAAATGATGAGTTGTCAAATTCTTATTGGTTATTGAACAGCACAAATTTATAAAGTACCAAAACTACGTAGTTTCACTAAAGGATAATTTAGTAATCTTCTTTTTCCGGTACCGGAAATTTCACTGTTGTCCTCAACTGCAACTTTTTAATAGTTCAAGGGAGCACTTGTTAAATCAGGGGGGTTTTGTGCAAATGCCTGAAAGTTCAGGGGAGTTTTTTGCACTTTACCCTTAAAAGAGGGAAGGTAAGGTAAGGTGGAGAGAGAATTACAAATTTAAGCAAGAAGCGACAGTTTACAGAACTGTCTATGCATCTTGACGGCTTCTATCTGAAAAACATTTTATTTATACAAATGAAATAACAAGAGAGAGAGACTTTTATCATCAAAATTCAAAAATAAAAAAGGCAAATTATTTGCTAAAACAAAAGCAGGGGGTATTATATTAAATCGATAAATTAAAGAAGTACAGTTCTCTTTCTTTTCTTTTCTTTTAACACACTTCCTTTTCTATTGGGTAAACTACAATCACAACGCCATCAATGGTCATTATTCGTTTCTCAAAGCACCATCAACTTGGCAAATCTTCACAAATTCGTCACCTATGCGATTCAACGTGCCTCAACTGGTCTTCACGCTCCACCTTTGCCTTTTATGATCTCGTCTCTAAATTCAAGCTGATTTCATATTAAATTATAAAAGTATTATAATTTCGTTTACCTATTACAAACTAGGATTTACACATCTACACCTACCGAGTTACCATATATATGAATGAGTTGATCATCACTCACCTATCCCACACCTTCTAATATATATATATATATATAGGATATTCAATTCTATACAATACAATATTCATTCAATATTTTTAACAATGAGGAGTATTAAATAGTTTTAAAAAGGACATACGTTTTAATTTTAAATTTATTTTTCCTTTTCTTTATTCTAATGTTGTTAAATGATGATTTGAATTATGGTAAAAGAATGAGAGAGAAAGAAAGAAAAAAAACAATATAACATTTAAAATTTCATAAGGAAGAGATGACAAACATTTAGAAATTTATAACTCTGATTATTATTATTTTTTAATTAAAATAACTCCAATTTAATCCATACATATTTCATTCAAAATTTTCAAAAAAACATTACAAAATGCATTACATATGTCATTAAAATTTGTCAAAAACATATTACAGGAATGACAGAGAGTTGTAGCCATGTTCACAAATTATCCAATAAAGTATAAGCATGAGTAGATAATAATGATAATATATGATAATAAGTTTGCAATCTGTTATGCGGTCACGCGAGAATAACTTGATCAACCTAACTTTTTCACTCACTCTTGTTAACACACTTATACTCGTTTTTACTGCTAGTGTTAACTTGGAGTTGCACAACCCCACACAATTTACAACTCAAGGAATTGTTGTGCAATACTCCCTTGCTCCTAGAGCTTGTTGGTTACAAAGGAAATATTCCTATATATAACCCTCATGTCTACACTCTAGAACTTTAGGCATAATTGCATAAATGTCCTAATTATTCACCCTTAACAAAACTCTTACTCTTCTAAAATATTCACTGCTCCTTGCAAGTTCTCCAACACTTTATAATCTTTCAATTTTCTCTACACTTCACAATTCTCTACACAACTTTAAAAAATTTTAGAATTTCATTCTCCTTATGTCATGTCATACTGCTAGTCAACCTCTCTGCAAGTAGGCAGTGGTGATATGGGCTGCATATGTGATTGTGAGGGCTGAGAGAAGTAGTGGGACTATGTCAGTTGAGTGGTTTATGGATTGCCGTGAGAACACGAGAATGAAAAAGAAAAAAAAGAAAGGAAGGAGAAAAGAAACTTAATTCCACGTTTGGTTAGCAAAAGAAGGAGAAAGTTAAATTTACCATATTTTAGGCCATGTTTGGTATAACAAGAGGAAAAAGAAAAAAGAAAAAAAATGAATGATAGTGTTAAGTTGTTAATCTCTAATCATGTTTGGTTAATTAAGGATGAAAAAAATAAAAGA